TCAACGTTTGCCATCAGGTAAAAAGGGATAGTTGGGGAGAGGGATACATCAAACATAAACAAGATGAGTTATACAAAATTCCTACTGATTTGATTAGTGATATACTTGTTAAAACCCACCCGCCCGATACCTTGTAGTCGTCGAGGGAGGTGCCTTCTGACAAGCAGGACTCACACGTGGGGGTTGGGGTTGTTGTTGTGGTGGTCGGCGGAGGCGTCAGCTCTTGTCAAAAAAAACTTAGACCTAACCCCGTATCAAACCCTCCCTTTTCGGTAGTGAGTGGATGGTATGCCTCGCGATTTCCCCCCTATCGCTCCCACCACACTCACTACCCGGACAGGATGGGTGCTACAACAAGCAACCCAGACCGAATTACAGATACGGGGTAGGCATTGAATATAGAACCAAATATATATGTTATGGTTCCTCATGAAACGGTCTTTGAAACTTGCTTGAGTGTCCTGTCTCCTGATGTTCTGGGGTTGCGTCACCTGATGTTCTGGGGTTGCGTCACCTGATGTTCTGGGGTTGCGTCACCTGATGTTCTGGGGTTGCGTCACCTGATGTTCTGGGGTTGCGTCACCTGATGTTCTGGGGTTGCGTCACTACCCGAAAATGAAGAAATGGGTGGGGATTTGCCACTCAAGCATGGTTCATGTCCGCTCATTTCATGGCTTAATCATAATATTTAATTATAATATGATTAAACATTGTTTTATAATCTAACAAGAAGGTTAAGACATTTAAATTAAACCTGACACCCCCTAGCCAAAACTACTTAAAGAAATATTACCTTATATATTAAGAGGAAAATGAACGGTGATGGAATCAATAATTATATCAATAACAAATGCTATGATTGTTGTCACTTCAAAAAAGAAAATATGGAATTGTATAAATTGAATTTACCTAATGGAATAATAAATAATATTATTGATTATTCAATGGATGAAGAAGACGAATGTAAAATTTGTCAGGAATGGAGAGATAATCAATTTTTAATCAAATGTTTGTTGAGAATAAAAGGAAGACATAATAGAAATGTAGAAGATGAGATTTTAATATTTCTAACTGTAAATAAAATACCACCTTACGATTATATTAAACAGTTTCTTAAAATCAGTAAGAACAAATATGACATGATTTATGATATATTATGGATGTTGGGTTATAGTCAAGAGAAAGGAGAAGATGTTAAAGAAAATATCAAATTATTTATTGAAAGAAACAAGTTTAATGTTCAAAATACATTGAGAGATATTAATATTATTTTGAAAATGATGTATGAAAGAAGTAAGACAAATCAATTAAATTATTATCCTGAACTGAAATTATAATCATAATATAATAATAACATGTAAAATGTTATATGTTATAATTATACTGAACTTTTAACCTATAACACCCCTTAATCTTATCTAAACAAATAACCCCTTAAACATATAGAGACCAATGACAGACAAAAAGCAATGTTCCAAATGTAAAGTCTTTCAATTGTTAGAAAAGTTCAACGAAGGAAGAAAACAATGTAATGTATGCTTGGAGAGCAAACAACGGTATAGAGAAGCACACAAAGAACAAATACAAGAGAAGGCAAAGGTTTATTATGAACAAAACAAGGAATACTACAAAACATACCAACAACAATATACTCAGACCTTGATTGATGTGATATATGTAATCGTCATTATCATCAAGGCAAGCGAAAGCAACACGAAGAAACCAGCTTTCATCAACATAACCTCAAACTGAAAAAAGAATATGAAGAGCGTCATAAAACAAATACACCGCCAACATCCCAGAACTTGATAACTACTAAAAGGGCTACCTCCTTCAAATGAAAAAAATGTCGGCCCCCAGCCCAACAATGAACAAGGCAACAAAAACCCAAATGTTCCACCTCTAACAAAACGATAAATAAGCTCCCCAAAAACACCCTTTTAAAAACGGATAAGGTGGTTAATAGGTTTGAGGTGAAAGTAAAAAGCATAACAGGCAACCATCAACAGGCCACCCCTCAGCTTCACCCTTTCTCCCCCCAGTGTCTAACCCAATAATTGAAAAACAACTGCACCTTAGATTCTTTCATTTTTACAGCTTGACTTGCTATTTTTCAATTATTTCCCAGTGTTTTGCTGCCTGAAAAAATTGGACAATTGAAGGAAACAAGGAAACGTAAACAAAAAACACATGGAACAGATGAAAAATCCGGAGGGGTCTCCCCAGGGCCTAGCCCAAAAATTGAAAAAACTGAACCTAAGATGCGTTTCATTGTTTCATGTGTTTCAATTATTTCCTAGGTTTTGACCTCCAGGTAGCAAAAAACTAGGAAATAATTGGACAAATTGGAAGAATTGAAATATGAAGAAACAAAACATGGAAACCATAAAAGCCAAAAAACAACTGGGAGGGGTCTCCCCAGAGCCCAGCCCAATATTTGAATAACATGAAAAGCATAGAAAGCAAATCCGGATGGGGTCTCCCCAGAGTATAGCCCAAATAACTGAATAACAAGAAAAATATGAAAAATCTGGACCTTGCAGGCATGTTTTTCTTGTTCCCAACCCGACAGGTAGGGGTAGTTAGATTTTAGGCAGATGTCCGTGCCAGCGATGCTTCTTCCAATGCCCCCCCCCCTGTGATCCGAGAGTGGTCCCGAAGTGATCCCGCAGTGATCCCGAGAGTGGTCCCGAAGCGATCCCGAAGTGATCCCAAGTGAGTGGCCCCGAAGCGATCCCAAAAGAGTTATCCCAAGTTATCTCCAAGTGATCCCGTGAAAGAGTGGTCCTGAAGTGATCCCGAGAGGGTGGTCCCGAAGTATCCCGCAGTGATCCCGAGAGAGTGGTCCCGAAGCGATCCCGAAGTGATCCCAAGTGAGTGGTCCCTAAGCGATCCCAAAAGAGCTATCCCAAGTTATCTCGAAGTGATCCCGTGAAAGAGTGGTCCCGAAGTGATCCCAAGAGAGTGGTCCCAAAGTGACCCCAAGAGAGAGCGAGAGAGCGGTCCCGACCGTAAGAGCGATGGCGAAAGGATCCCAAAGTGATGCCGAAGTGATCCCGAGAGAGTGGTCCCGAAGTGAACCCGGATTGATCCCGCGAGAGTGATCCCGAAATGATCCCGAGAGAGTGATCCTGAAGTGAGCCAGTAAGAGTGATCCCGAAGTAATTCTGGCGAGTGTTTTGGGCCTCTTGGGCCTCTTGGGCCTCTTGGGCCTCTTGGGCCTCTTGGGCCTCTTGTGCCCTTCCACCGAAAGATCCTATGGGATCCTCTTGGCTTAGCTGGCTGTCAGCTCAAATGGGAAGCTGTCAAAATTGAGAGCTTGGATCGGCAAAGCAAACCAATGGGACACATTTGTTCGACGCGCGGCCAACTGCCAATCAGCACATGTCAGCTTATGTTTGGGCTTCCTTGGGCAAGCAGCCAAAAAAAGTTCCTCATTTTGACAAATTTCTCAAATTTGCCCATCTCTCCTGACCAACCGGTTGAAGACATCCTACCCTCGACCGAGCCGCTCCCCCCAAACACCATGGACAATATGCCAAAAGTTCACCACCGATTCTTGACTCCATCCCCACTCCTGAAAAAACAAGGATATGGCGTTGGACGTGACCCCAATCGTTTTCACACCTCGGATGGCAACACTTCTTTCACATCCCCCACGTCTGCCAGCAAAAACAAAAAGGAGCTGCATGCGCATGTCTTCGAAATACCCAGTAATTACCACTGCTTCAGAACTGAATGACAAATCCGCTTCAGCTCGCGACGGCGCGGCCCGCTTTTTGAAAGGTCCATCCAGAGATCCTTGCCCGCATTCTTTCTGAATGCATACGGCAGCACATGCGGGTGAACAAATCAACAAAGCCGCCAACTCTTGAGATGATGCACTTGAGCGGGTATGCTGGTCATGCGCCAGCATGATGCACTCGAGCGGGCGTGCTTATCATGTGCCAGCATGTGCGCACTTCTGAGATGATGCACTTCAGCGGGTGCGCTTATCATGTGCCAGCATGTGTGCACTTCTGAGATGATGCACTTCAGCGGGTGCGCTTATCATGTGCCAGCATGTGTGCACTTCTGAGATGATGCACTTCAGCGGGTGTGCTGATCATGTGCCAGCATGTGTGCACTTCTGAGATGATGCACTTCAGCGGGTGTGCGCGTATCATGTGTCGGCATGTGTGCACTTCTGAGATGATGCACTTCAGCGGGTGTGCTATCATGTGCCAGCATGTGTGCACTTCTGAGATGATGCACTTCAGCGGGTGCGCTTATCATGTGCCAGCATGTGTGCACTTCTATGCATGTGCCAGCATGTGTGCACGACTGTCATCATGTGCCAGCATGTGTGCACTTCGGACCGGGTGCTGCTTATCATGTGCCAGCATGTGTGCACTTCTGAGATGATGCACTTCAGCGGGTGTGCGTTGATGCATGTGAAGCAAGGGCTTCTGAGATGCATGCACTTCTTGCACTTCGGGTGCGCTTATCATGTGCCAGCATGTGTGCACTTCTGAGATGATGCACTTCACCGGGTGCGCTTATCATGTGCCAGCATGTGTGCACTTCTGAGATGATGCACTTCAGCGGGCGCGCTGATCATGTGACAGCATGTGTGCACTTCTGAGACGATGCACTTCAGCGGGTGTGCTGATCATGTGCCAGCATGTGTGCACTTCTGAGATGATGCACTTCAGCGGGTGTGCTTATCATGTGCCAGCATGCGTGCACTGCTGAGATGATGGACTTCAGCGGGTGCGCTTAACATGTGCCAGCATGTGTGCACTTCTGAGATGATGCACTTCACCGGGTGCGCTTATCATGCGCCAGCATGTGCGCACTTCTGAGACGATGCGCTTCAGCGGGTGTGCTGAACATGTGTCAGCATGTGTGCACTTCTGAGATGATGCAGTGCGTGCGAGCCGAGAGACTTCAAACAAAAAGACAACTACGTGCCGCGGAAGCTGTAGGCCTGCCTCTGACACTGCTCAAGACTTCTTTGTTGCCCCGGCTTGATCAAGCTCGTTGACTGCGCACACTCGAGCAGGAGGGCAGCTGAGAAAAGTGCAAGTGAACGGTCGCACAATGTGCGCCGAGTGGCAAGACTCTTCTGGACTGAGCGTTCGCACCTTCACAACCTCAGCCAGCGACAGCAACGACACACACACACACAAACCGCAAGTTGTTAATTGCCGATAGAAACACGCTGCCTGCTACAGAGTTGTTTTGGGAAGGTAAGGGGCTTACAATGAGCCGATGCCATCCGAGTTTTCCCCCAAGTGCGGGCGCGGTCTCGTCTTGTCAAAACATGTTTTGCACAGCACCTTCAAAGATTCAAGGATCCGTGTGTGATCAGGTCGCGTCAAGTTGCCTGTCCCAAATGCCACTGTGCACCTGCGCGCACCTATACATGCCGGCGCAGGTGCAACAAAAGCCATTACCAACCGGGTTTGGAATTGAAAGATGTCAACAATCTCTGAACTTTATGGGTTGTTCAAAATGGTTCCGGATCATCTGCCGCCATCCCAAGTGGCGAACGTTTTGAGAAGCAAGAACGAGGATTACAAGAGTTATCTTTTGAATACTCTGGCCTTCCGGCTGAGACACATGCATGTCAATCGAAACCGCCATTAAGAAAAGCGCCATTAAGTGTTTAAAGGTTTCATGACAATCCACAAATTTATCTCTCAAAACACACAGACACACGGACACCCAGAACAGGGGCACGGGCTCCACGGCGCGCTCCGGAGAGGCTCATGCCAGAGCCAGCCACCTGGAGTGCATGGCATGCTTTACACTGATTACACTGCATCTACCGAACTCGCCGAACTGACACACATCACCCTGCATTGCCCTGCATTGGTGAGGGAGCATAGTGAACAAGATTGAACAAGCTGCGTCAAAAAGCACTGAGAAATTGGACCTCAGCGTTTAGAGCATAGAGCTTGATTTCATTTGATTTCCCCCTCTCAAGAAGCTGGACGTGCCAGGCATGAAACGTGAAACAACTTGCCCTTCAGAGCAAGGACCTGCCAAAGGGGAACCATGCTGCTTCAGCGCTGACCCTGAAGCTCAAATAGTTGGTACTGCCAGGCGCGCCTGGACTGGCGCAGACGAGCTCTCCTGGGAGGATCGGTGGTACCACGTGTGTACGACGCCTGGGAGTAAAATATTAATGAATGATGGAGCCGAACCAGCTTAATCCTCGTTATCCCTCTTTACGAGGCAAGGTGACATTCACACATGCGAAGCCAATATGAATCAGCCAGAGTTTGTTGGTGTTACTGGGTTTTGTAATCTTGCACTCGTTGGGAAAAAAAACACAGGAAATGCGGCCAAACACACCAGTGGACAAGGGTCACAAATAAACATAGCCCGTAAGCCAAATTCCTCTGGGCCCAGACGCTTGCAAGTCCTTCTCCCCAACCAGCTCCACACTGGAAGCCTGGCTGCGTCGTTCTAGGTTTCATGTGCCGGTCCTCCATGCAAGAAAACACACACACACACACACACACAACAACGCGGCCCAACTACCGAGTAGCTCGCCACCACCCAGATGCTGTCAACTTCAGCCAGGAGCGCGCCACCGCCGACCGTACAAAGCGCACAAGATAAGCGGCAGTACTTTCCTTGGTTCTGAGATGTTCTGAGCAAAGTCATCGACCGACGTCGGTTTGACTGGCAGCATGTGACCCACCAGCCTTGACTATGCATGGGCATGGCAATGCATGGCAATGCATGGCAATGCATGGCAATGCATGGCAATGCATGGCAATGCATGGCAAACCTGCTCTCCGGCACAATGCATTACGCAATTTACTTGCCTCGCTTTCACTTGCCTTGAAAGCTGATCATTTCCGCTTTCACTCATGGTTTTGGCTCGGCGCTCATGCCAGTCATCAGCTGGAAAGTTGTGCAACACGGATTAGTCATGATATGTCATGATGAGCCTGTCTTCTGGTGATGTGTCGGCCAGCGAAAGAGGATCAGCTGGGCCCTTCGGCTCGCCAGCGGCGCAAAGCGTTGGCAGTAACCCATGGAGGCCTTAGCCGTTCTCTGTGTCAGACAGGCCATACAGCAGGGGGATGCTGCAGCAATAAACTTGTCATAGGCTATAGGTTATAAATCCTATCCGTCCTATCGCCACGTTCGCCACGATAAATCATTAAACAAGGCTGATCGGATGCAAATGCGCCAGACACGACTTGGGCTCTGGCAAAAGACTTGCACCCAGGGAGATGATTCCAAACCTGACACCCAAAACATATCTTGACTGTGTAGCCATGCCCCCTGGAGCCAGACCATATTCTTGTTGTCGTCTTCACAGACCTGCCGCGGTCGTGGCATGGCGCAACTCACACCCAATGCCTTCCCCAGAAAATGTGTGGCCGACCGACGCCATGTTTTCTGGCATCCTAACATGGGCCGCTATCCTCTTTGCAGCAGGTGCCCGTCAGGCACCTCTTTTTTGGCAAACTGATCAGGAATACGAATGGCATCCCAAGGCACGTTCATTGAGATGTTTTGCACACTTAAACAGCAAGTGCATGTGTTCTATGTTTTCAGCACGATTTCTTGCATGAAGAAGCTAAGGTTGTGATGGACCCGGCTGCCACCTGGAAGCAGGTCGCATGGTTGTGACCCAAAGGTTTGAAGGCAAAACCAGAATCCAGATTGGCCCGGCATCCAGCTTGCCCAACACATTTATAGCGTGACTCCAACACAGCCCTGTTCATGTCCCACCCCGACACCAGCTGTTTTCTTTGGGGTGGGCGAGTGCACACCACGCCAATGGCATCGAAGAAAACGGCCATCACATCTCCATATGTCCCACCGGAAAAATCTTGGCGCTGCCGCGGCCTCTGGCTCAGCCTTCTTTTGCGCGCTGTCCTGCACCACAGCGCCCTGCCGCTTCTGGACCTCACCGCAGGATCTCCCGGAACCTCCGCTTCTCTGAAAATCTGAAAATATGGGGTTCATGCAGCGAATGCGTGTACAAAACGTTTAGGGATGCAAATGCATACCAATGATGCATTCGTCCGGGCACACACACACGTAATATATATATATATATACACATATATATATATATATTATGAATATATGAGCGACGGCTTTTATTTGGTGCAACACGTAATGGACGCATGTTAGGAGTCGGCCCCTTATCTCGCACACACTATTTCAGTGTTGCCCATGATGTCCTGTTTTTGGGTGATTTCGTTCTCCAGCCCCACGCACTGTTCAACTCGGGTCAAGGGGAAGCTGAAAGCTGCAAAGCTCTTCTTTGAGAAACGACCGCCGAATGGACAACTGCTCACTCGCACCACTTTCCGTAATGTTTCGGATCTCGTTTTGATCTCGTTTTGATCTCGTTTTTTCAGGGCACGAAAACCGGAAAATGAGTGTCTGAAGCGTAAAAGTTGGCCTATCTCGTTTTCGAGTCGGCCCCTATCTCGTTCCCAAGGGAACTACGCATTCTGCAGCAAAAATGTGTCCAGCTCCTTACGAGTACATGCTTCCTTTAGCCTAAATAAAAACGGGTGCTCATATGTTTTTTTGTGTGTATGCATGTATGGATGTATACATACTATCTATGGATTTGCTTATTTATTTTAAACATATGCGCTGGGAGAGAGAGAGAGAGAGAGAGAGAGAGAGAGAGAGAGAGAGAGAGAGCGCGGTAGTTGTAAATATACATGTTTGCCTGGGTGGCAATATCACATGCACGCGGAGGTTGATACATAGAATATAGTTTGCACATATGTTGTGTGTGTGTGCGTTGAGTCTTTGTACTTATAGGCCCTCTTCAACGGCCAGTGGGTATGCATTGCAACAACAACAAAGTCAGTGCTAGCGGCAAAAGGCACACTTGCGGGCAAAAATGCACACTATTCCGACCAGGGTTGGGCAACAATTCCTTAAACATCCACCCCTATGACTCCCTTTAAAGGGAAACCGCCACTAGTTTGTTTGAACAATGGGTGTTTAAACAGTTTAAACAGGTGGCTGGCCCAACCCTGATTCCGACCCTCTTGCCTCTTGTCAATGACATCTCTGGAGTGGAATCCTAGTGCTGCCATAGGGCTGCATTTCCAGCAATAGCTCCACGGCAGGATCATCTGCAACATCCGCTCCTGAACTGTTGCATAGCTGGCAAGTGCACCATTGCAAGGTCGCTCCTTCCCCATCCATATAGCCATAGAGTCCGCCAAGGGTCAGGACTATTCCCAGAGGTGGCCCTCAGAGTGTGACAAGCACCTCATGACAGAATGTCTCAACATAGATAAGTCAAGCATCTCTTCAGCCCCCGGAACACAGCCTTTGTTGCCAGTATCCACTGCGATCACGTTTCAACCCTCAGAGATTCCCAGGTGAAATTTCTGATTACGGCAAAAAACAGGCAAAAGTCCCGCCCAGCTTCAGCCCAGATTCCACAATAGTTCTTTCCAGGTGATTCTCGTTGTTCACCGGACAGTCTGGATCTACACGAGCCGCGGCATACCTCGTGCATGTGCAACTGACAAAATGGGCATGGGAAAACTGGGTACTTCCCCTGGTGTTTGCAGGCAATTTGGGTAGTCCCCCCATGTGCTCCCCAAATAGACAGTAGACTACCAGTGTCGTCTGTTACTCGCATCTTGCGAAGTCAAACACTTCTCGATGTATTGCTGCGAAATAACGATGAATAAACGGTGAGGCATGACAGGCAATTTGAGTTATAAAACCCGGTACACAAATCCTGTGCCCAAACTTAGCCTAGGATCTATAAAGGCGGCCGCAACAATGGGATCTTCCCTAACCTCCAATGACAACCAGGTTTTGAGGAAGCGACTCATTTAAGTGGATCTACCGGAAGAGAAACTTTGCTCGGCAAACGCCACCTGAGTCGAAATAAGAACCTGGTACAAAAACCCTATCGAAACCATGTGAAGAATTGCATCTCAGCTTTTGCGCAACTGGAACTACTGTGGATGGACGAAATCCTGCACCACCTGGGAACCATGGGAAACCACCATTTACTGGTATTTGCAGTGGATTCCTTCTTCCAGGGTCTGTTAGGTGGTGCAGGATTTCGTCCATCCACAGTATGGCTTGGTAGGATCTTCCCTTACTAACCCCTTACAATCACAACGGGTTTTGAGCTGGCTCATCTTGCTTGGCGCCCCCACTTTTGGATCTTTCGGCTGGTGTTAAAGGGAATCTAGTGAAAACCATCCAATTTGGGGGCGTCTTTGGGGGGGGTCCCAACCACAAAAAAGACAAGCTCACATTTCCTCCCAGAAAGGTGGTTTCCTCCACTTTTCTCTTGAAACCAACAAACAAAGGGGGTGTCAATCAAACTAGCCAGTGGCCAGCCAAAAAAAAGTGTTCACTTTTTGTTCCCCCTACAAAACCAAAGGGGAAACCACCCAACCAAAAGTGCAAAGTGGACTGTGTGAGGCGTAACTCTCCTTGTGAAGTCAAAGGGGGGTGCTGTGGTACCCTCACTTTTGTCGAGAGGCCCCGGAACAAAACTTTAAACGTGTGCAACCACTGGCTGAGTACACCAAAGCAGGGTTCCTCCAACAAAGAAAGGTGGTTTCCTCCAACAGAGGAGGACAAGCCCACCTTGCTTGGGCCCAGATCGTCAGGGCACCGCAACTTCACTGCCCAGGCTTCTGCCGGCACCGGCTCTGCCAGGGCCTCAGCCTGGAAGGCCTCTGCAGGCTTCTGCAGCCAACTGGTCCAGGCTCAAATGAGTCATGATGGTGTTATTATTTGTTTGTTTGTGTGTTGGTTTGTTAGTTTGTTGATTTGTTTGTTCGTTCGTTCGTTCGTGTGTTTGTTTGTTTGTGTGCTTGATTGTTTGTGTGTTTGTGTGTTTGCTTGCTTGCTTGTCTGTTTGTGTATGTTGGTTGGTTGGTTGGTTGGTTGGTTGGTTGGTTGGTTGGTTGGTTGGTTTGTTGGGTGGGTGGGTGGGTGGTTGGGTGGATGGATGCTTGTGTGCCTGTGTGCTTGTGTGCTTGCGTGCTTGCGCGCTTGCTTGCTTGCTTGCTTGCCTGCGTGTTTGTGTGTTTGTTTTCTTGCTTGCTTGCTTGCTTGCTTGCTTGCTTGCTTGTTTGACAGTTTGCTTGCTTGCTTGTTTTTTTTCTGTCTGCCTTTGTTTGTGTGTTGTGTCTTTTTACGATGGGTTTGTCTTTTGTGTTCTATGATGGGTGTTCGCCTTCTCTTTGTTATCCCCCAAGAAAAAACATGTCTCGTTCTCCTCTAGACTCCTTGTAAAGCCCACCACCCAACAAGTGACCTCAAGGTCCCATATCCTGCACACACAAACAGTCGGCTGTTACCTAGGGTCATGGAAACATATTTATTTATTGCTTGTTATACCTGATGTTTTACTGTTTGTTGCCGTATGTGCTTTTCTGTTTCTTGTTTTCGACATACTTTCTTACCCCAGGAATCCCCCACCCTCCTTGCTAAAGAGGCCCTTGTCTTCCCCGCTTTTCCACCCGCCACGCGGCCGTTTGCACGCTACGCGCTGCGCTGCGCCAAGCCGCGGTAGCTCAAAGAGCTGGCCGCCCTGGAAGGCCCGCAGCTGGCCCCGGTGGAGTTCGAGGTCTAGGAACCTCCAGTCGCGTCGCTCAAAAATGGAACCCCCTAAAATGACCACCCCTTTCAAAATGGAACCACAAAATTGGACCAACCAAAAATGGCGAAGTTGGTTGACGCTAAAGGGAAACCCAACCATAAATGGCTGCTCAAAAATGGGTACTTAAAAGGGAACCCCCCAAAATGGAACCCCAAAAATGACGAAGTACCTAAAAGGGAACCCTGGTGGAAGAGTAGACTAAAACCAAACAGGGCCTCTGGCCCCACGCTCTCTTTTGAAGCTGCAAATGCTCTTTAGGTCCATGGAAGATGCTGAACTTTCCACAGCGACTTGACTACATCTGGCTGTCGAGTGGCGAGTCATGTGCAATTCTGATGCTCCTTGTCCAGGTGCGCAAGGATGGGTCAACCCTCGCCATATAGTCCTCTCGACATTGTCCACTATGTCATTGAATGAACAGCTGCTACGCTCATGACCCTCTCAACTCTCGACATTGCCCACTACGCAGTCATTCATGAACATAGCAGCTGTTTAGTGAGGCTCAATGCCATTCAAATGTCTGGATGCATCACATCTCAACATGGTGCCCATCGGAAGCATAGCTTTTTGTCTGCGAGAGCGGAGTAATATGGTGCTGATTTCCGGATGGAACACTTCTTTGCGACATCTCTCGAATCAAAGCCCTATTCTCTAGTCATGCTCCTTCGCACCTGCCGCAAGGGACACAGCCAGAGCCAGACCTGAAGCCGGCGGTTTTCTCCCGATTTTGTTTGAGGCATCATCACAAGCCTCTCACAGCACACAAATGGACATGACAGGAACATCTTCATCTTGCGCCTCGTGCAAGCTGGCCCATGGCTCCAGGAAAACATCTGCAAGGTAAGAGACTTAAGCATCACAGATCCTATGTCAGGAACTTGCAGGACTTTCTGCTAAGGGATGGACTCAGAAGACTTCTGCTTCCAAAAAAGAACATGACATGGTCCAGAAGTCAAGCCACGAGATTGTTCCAAGGCTCAGTCGCTTCGCGGACACTGCTAGAGTTCCGACTGCAGAGTGCTGAAGCCACAAAAACGGCCAAGGGTTCCGCATTTGGAGGTTTCTAAAAATAGGGGACCCCTTTTTGGGTGTTGCTTAAAGGGAAAGGGAAACAAACTATCCCCAGAAGGGGTCCCCTATTTTTAGAAACCATTTTGAATAAGTTCAACGCAACCCGATTTCAGGGAGCCCCGTTAGGGTATTGCCCCCTAGTGACCTAGTGAGCTCCTTTTTCCCAACCGGGTTAGAGTCAGAGCTCGTCTTAAGATGCAGATGCCAAGGCTATGACTTATCGAACGCCTCTGCGTGGATGCCTGGACGCGTGCTCACATCTTGGCATTTGACTTTTCTGCCTTCTTGACCAGCGGCCACGCCACGCCTTGCTGCCATGCCAGCTGGACTCATGTGCGTATGTTTGTTTGTTTGTGTGTGTGTGTGTGACATTTCTTGCTGGTGGTCACGCGGTGCAAACAAAAACCGGCCTGCCATGCACACCGTGCGCGTGTCCCACTTCACCTTGTTCGCCACGGGCTTTAGCTTGTTCTGAGCAGCGCAAGATGCGCCATTGCTGGTCAGTTGAAATTTTGCAGGAGCTTTCGATTGCAGGACGCCGGGCTTTGCGTCCTAGGCACCTAATTTGCGCGACCCTGACGGGCTTGCCTGCCAGCCCTTTCTTGTCTGGGGTCGAGCACCGCAACTTAACGTGCGACGGAGACACCGTTCTCCACCGTGTCGTTGATGCGACCAAGTGCTTCCCAGACACCGTTCTCCACCGTGTTTGTCACGCAGGCGCGTGCCCCCGGACACCGTTCTCCACCGTGCCCCTTGGCGTGGCCACATGCTTTTGAGGGGCCGCTGTTATTTTTTAAGATGCTTTACTTGATGTTAAGCAGCTGCGCGGTTCATCGCAAAAATTATGGTTTCACTTTGTTGGGCTGGGCTGGGGCTTTCAGCCATGTTTTGTCGTGTGCATGTTTGAAGGCCTGCGCGCCGAGAATACTGCCAGACATATTGGCGGCCATAAATTCGGCCGTTTTAGCGCTGAGCGCCATTTCATAAGCTCACCTTTTTCTCAGATCAGTAAGTGGACACATCTGAACCCTGCTTGCCACAAAATGAGGGCCGGGCATGAGACATTTTGGCCCGCCGCCTTGGGCTGCAAAATCTGGCCTGGGCATTTTTGCAGACTTGCTTTTCGGCGTGAACATTTACAGGGTCCTTTGCGAAACACGATTTGCGACATGAACATTTACATGATCCTTTACGCTGCGCGTGTGCGCTTTTCACAGCCCACAGACATAGAGGCTGAAAATTGGAATAATCTATAGTTCATTTGCGTCTGCAGGTCGCCTGCCGATGGTTGGCAAACCATGCAAGGCGATGCAAATTACATATGCATAGGGTCAAGAAATACATGACAGCGATTGGCTCCTTGTGTCCAATCTCAGTGGCATTATTGGCTTCAGCGTCAGCTCCAGGTAGTGGGGATTCTCATGGATTAAGGCTCCAGAATCCAGAAGTGACATATTGCCATGTTTCAGTTGGTCGCAAACAACGCCACTGTGGGCTCTTCTCAGAGGGAGCTTTGCCCTCAGTCCACCGAAGGTCCGCAAACTTGGATGTGGCGGCTCTTGCGCCTGAGTCATGGCCCCAAACCGAGATGTGCAAGAGAAAGCAAACTGGACAAGCATCATGCGAAAACCCCGCGCGCTGACCCTCACACACACCCACCCACCCACCCACCCACGCACGCACGCACGCACGCACGCACGCACGCACGCACGCGCACACACACACACACGGACGAGGGACACACACACACACTATAAGATACAGTACACACTTGTGCAAAGGTTGCTCTTTACAATATCGGATGGCAGGCATCTTTCACATGTTTCCAAACATGTTAAGTGTTGGGTGAAACATACAACATATTTTACCAAGACAAAGGTCAGCCACCTGTCTCCTCCTGGTGTCCTGCCACACGTATTACATGTACTTGAAGTGTGCTCATCTGGATTGCAAAAAATAGAGTTCACAAAGTGGCAAAATCTTCATCTGCCCTTCAAATGCCTTCAACCGCCTGAGAAGTATGCCCACTTTGGACGCTGTAGACATCCAGCTCTCGTCTCCCAGACACATCGGGCCCCCTTCTCTTAGCTGCCCCGCGGTCAGGGCGGCAGCGGCCTCCGCCGCGCTGCCTCCAGAGCTTCAACCTTAGAGCTGAGAAGAGGTCTACGCCTTGGAGAAAAAATCGGGCTCTACATGTTGTTTTTGTTTACAAAACCATGCATTTGGGGGTTCCAAAAAAAACAAAACACGTTTTGGGGAAGGGGATCCTTGCCTTGGGGCGGAGTTTTGGGTTTCGGTGCTAAAGCTGCTTCTTGGATCACTGAAGGGGATAGGATCTGCAACTCTCATTCTATGATTGCAATTTGTTGAATCGACCTCATTCCGTACAGCATAGGGAACGTGTTCCACGATTGCTGGACTTTGATGTGTCAACGAAAAGGGCAAGCATGCCACAAAAGAAACTCATCCATCTTATTTGGATGCTATCTCAACAAAAGACCAAAGACTTGCATGACCGCCTCGGATCCCAGCACGAGGCTAGGGCCCCCTAAATTCGTGAACACAAGCGCCCCCCCCCAACATCCCACCCCGTCCGGTTTGACAGAGTCCCACTGTATCCGTTCGACTCTTGGCCGCCAACGCTGGATCTGAACTCGCGCTTCGATGTCACTCGAAGCGCTGAGACCTGCTTTCCACCCTGCTACTCGGGGATGGCAAATGCAACATGCAACTTGCAATAGTGGCAGGAAAAAATGTGGCAGGTAATTTTGAGGTAACTTTGAGGTAACTTTGAGGTAATTTTGAGGTAACACGGGAATAGTGTGATTTACCTCAAAGTAACCTCAAAGTTACCTCTCCCGGTGTTACCTCAAAGTCACCCCAAAGTTACCTCAAAGTGACCCCCCAAATCTTGAGGTAACATTTGCCAAACTTCGGGATAGCCTTTCCCAGTTGTTGAGGTAACATGCCCCCAACGTTTGAGGTAACATACCCCAAAGTTTGAGGTAACTTTGAGGTAACTTTGAGGTAGCTGTGAGGTAACATACCCCCAAAGTTTGAGGTAACATACCCCACAATTTGAGGTAACTTTGAGGTAGCTGTGAGGTAACATACCCCCAAAGTTTGAGGATGACTACGAGCAAAGGCTCGCAATGCTCCTGCCGCCCCGCGCCTGACCGGAGGACGGATAGTTCTTCTGAACGCTCTGCGGTTGGCCTCCATCTGAAGGGGAGGTGCGTGGGAAGAAGGTACATGCACACATACCTATATTACACAACATTCACAATTAAGTTTACATTTACATTTACATTTACATTGCGTTGCATTGTATTACATTACATTATGCTACATTACCTAGATAACGCATTACATCGCATACACACAGACATACATGACATACAAACATACATTACATTACATTACATTACACTACATTAAATTACATTACATTACATTTACATTACGTTACATTTCATTACATTACATTACATTACATGTCATACATACATACATTTACATTTCATACATACACATTTATATATACATACATACATAAATAAACTACATTACTTCACCCTACCTTACCCTACCTTACATTACATTGCATACATACACACATGCATACACACATATGTACATACATGTATACATACATACATTACATTGATACATTACATACATACATACATACATACATACATGCATACATACCAACCTACATACATACATACATACATACATACATACATTACATGCATAAATAAATACGTACATACATGCATTACATACATTCATACACTATATTTCGTACATACATACTTTTACATCCATACATACACACATTGCATACACTACACTACATTACATTACATTACACTGCACTACGCTACATTACATTACATTACTTGACATTATATTACATACAATTACATGCATACACCCATACATACATACGTGCATAAATAAAAATCTACATACGTATATACATACATACATTACATTCCATAACATTCCATTACATTACATACATACATAAATTACATACATGCATACATACGTTCATACATACATAACATACATACATACATGCATGCATGCATGCATACATACATACATACATTACATACATACATTACATACATACATACATACATACATACATTACATTACATTACATTACATTACATTACATTACATTACATTACATTACATACATACATATATATATATATATATTACATTACATTACATTACATTACATTAATGCATACATACATACAATACATACATACATGCATACATACGTGCATGTACACATACATTACATACACACATACATACATACATTACATAACATAACATAACATAACATAACATAACATAACATAACATACATACACACATACAAACATAACATACATACATACATACATACATACATACATACATACATACATTACATACATACATACATACATACATACATAACATAACATACATACATACATACATACATACATACATACATTCATACAGACAGGTCATACACACATACATACACACGTATGTACACACATACATACATACATACATACATACATACATACATACATACATATATACATACATACATACATGCATACACACGTACATACATACTTACACACATACTTACTTACTTACATTACATTACATTACGTTACATTAAATTACATACACTCATACATTACATAACATAACATAACATAACATAACATTACATTACATTACATACATACATTACATACAT